GAGGCAGCAGCTCAGCTCTGGGCAGTGGGGATGCTGTGTCAGGAAGGTGGGAAATGCATCTTAGTCATCTTTGTAGGCCCCAAACTAAGCCTAGTGTCTGGCAGAGTGCAGGACCATAGCAAGTATTTTTAAATGCAGATTCCACTTACAGTTACATCTACTAAGCCTTCTAGACCATCTAAGAACCATCTGCTTGAGAGAAAGACCAAATGGTGTTACAGAATGGAAAGGTTACTAGGTCTGAAGTCAAAAGATGCAGATTGAGTTTTGGTTCTGTCATTGTGTGTCCACATGACCTCTTCATTTCTGTAGACCTTATTGTTTTCATCTGCAAAACAAGGCTAGTGGACTTCCCTGGTGGCGCAGTGGTTAAGAATCCACCTGCCAATGCAGGGGACACGGGTTTGCGCCCTGGTCTGGGAAGATCCCACATGCCGCGGAGCAGCTAAGCCCGTGCGCCACAACTACTGAGCCTGTAAGCCGCAACTACTGAGCCCGCGCGCCTAGAACCCGTGCTCCACAACAAGAGAAGCCACCGCAATGAGAAACCTGTGCACCACAACAAAGAGTAGCCCCTGCTCGCCGCAACTAGAGAAAGCCCGCACACAGCAAAGAAGACCCAACGCAGCCAAAAAACAAAACAACAACAACAAAAAAAACCAAGGCTAGTAATACTTCAACTGCCTGCCCCTTAAGGATGTGGTCCAGTTCAGAAGGTTCTGGTGGCACTGGGAGCCCTAGAGCAAAGCGCACAGGACCACTGTCCACGGTGCAGTTAGTCCCGTGGCCAAAAGGGACATCTCTCTGAGGTGGCCCAGCGGGATAAGCTGGAGGGGGAACCAGATGTGTGGCTCAGGGCAGCCAAAGGAATGGCTAACTGTTGCCAAGTGTTTGGCTTTGAGGGCAAGGCAAGAAGAGACACAGGGCTGTAGGCAGGAAGAACACAACAAGAGCAAAGAGGCAAGGAGAGCACTTCAGAAAGAAGGCTGTGAGAACAGCCACAAGCGTCCCCCTCCTAAGTCCTCAGTGACAAACCTGAGAGTGAACACTCGCTGAGCACTCACTATCCACCAGGTGCTCTTCTCAATGTTTGCAAAGGATTATTTCCCTTAATCCACACAGTAACCCCGGGTGGATACTACTGTTATCCCCATTTCACAGATTAGGAAACTGAGGCATGGAGGTCCCAGGAGATTTTAACTCGTGGCTCACATTCTTAAGCAGTCCGTGTTACTGCTGGTACACAATGCAGGGTGGCTACAGTGACTGAGAGAGAAGGGAATGTATTGAAAGGCATTTTGTGAATTGTAAAGTGCTGAGTAGATGTGGGATGGGGTTAAACCCCAAATATGCACTTAACCTCTCTCGGCCTCTCAGTAACTCTCCAAGAACGGTGTGTTGGACAATCATGGCTAAGGAGAACCATGTTTCCTCCTGAGCCTGGCCCTGGAGCTCGGTCTGTAGGGGCCATAAAGGCAAGTGGCTGCACAGGTGCTGGTGGCCAGCCTCATCTCCCCAGCTCTCTGGACTCCCAGCCTCCCATGCCATCTCGAGGAATCGTCTGCTGGGGGCCTCCTAGGTAATTCAGCCCAGGCTTAGGGAACCCTGGAGCTGTGGGGTAGATGGCAGAGCCCAAGTGTCCAGGATCTGATCACAGTGTGTCAGAGCCGGACGCTGTTGGAATTCTCCCACTCCCAAATGGGATGACGGGCACGGACAGAGACAGAGCAAGCTTCTAGACACAGGCACGGCGCCCACAAGTGGGAGGCCTTAGGCTGACCTCACCCCCACCCAAGGGAAGACAGAGGAACAGTGTGTGGATGGAAGATTCCAGGGAGACAACCAGAGCCGAAGGGAAATGCTTCTGGTCCAGGGAGGGGGCAGTGAGGGAGGCTGGGGAGGGGAGGGCGAGGAACGGCACAAGGTGCGAAGACACACCCAGAGGGGGTGCCGAGGGGCCCGGGGAAGGGTTGCAATGGAAGCAAAGGGAGACAGAGACTGGGGAGGCAAAGGCTGTGACAGAGGGGCTCTGGGAGAGGGTGACTTCTCTTGGATCCAGAACAGAATGGGAGGGGAGCAGCCCCTCAGTCAGCCCCCGGGAGAGCTGGAGCTCAGAGAAGGGTAGGAGGCGCAGGCGTCTTACTTATTCTGTGGCGGGGGACATGGAGTAGCCCAACCTCCGGACACCCGCTGGGGCATGCGTGTGGGGGGTCTGATTCAGTGGCGGGAAGGATGGGCTCAGCCACAGGAAAAGTCCCGCTGGGTGGATGGAAAGTCAGCCAGAAAAAAAGGTGAGAGGCAGCAGGTTTGGTTCAAGAAAAATCGATCAGGGTTACCAGGCAGATGGAGCACAGAAACAGCTAAGGGGACTCTAGGAAGAGCAGCAGATAAAGGGGGTTCATCAGAGAGGGTGGGGGCAACTTCGGGGCTCCCTGCTCCAGGCTGAGGGTCAGAGGCCACACTTGGGGCTCTGGGAAGACTGGTGAGAGCAGAGCAGGCCCAGTGTCACAGGAACAGGGCCCTGGGCAGGCTGGCAAGAGGGACCTAGAACCAGAGCCGCAAAGCAAAGAGAAGGCCTGGCCACACAGCCAGCCCAGAGTCATTATCAGAGCTGCGAGCCTGGTCAGGGTGGGACCCGCACTGACGGAGGAGTTGACTGAGATCACTTGGGCCTGAGAGCCAGCCCGGGGCCCCGACATTGGATTCCCTGGGGCCCTGACCGAGGGAAGCCCTCAGGACGTCTGGTGGAAGCCCTTCCAGGCCAGCCCGCATTATTAGGTTCAACCAACTAATAAACAGATGAGAGGTCTCTGCTCTTGAACCAGCAGAGGCGAATGGGAGAGGCCACTATTTAGGAAGATAGGGGTCACACCGCTGCCTTCCTGCTGCTTCTCATGAGCCCCCAGAACAGAGAGCTCTCCAGCCCGCTGGCCCTCCCAAAGGGTGCTCCTGCGGTGACCGTGCGTGGTGAGCAGACACCCCTGATTTACAGGGTTTGTGGGGAATTCTCAGCACTCCCTCAAGTTACTAAAACAGAGTTCCTCAGAGGATATGGGGTGGGGGAAGGGTAAGCTGTGACAAAGCGAGAGAGAGGCATGGACATATATACACTACCAAACGTAAGGAAGATAGCTAGTGGGAAGCAGCCGCAGAGCACAGGGAGATCAGCTCGGTGCTTTGTGACCGCCTGGAGGGGTGGGATAGGGAGGGTGGGAGGGAGGGAGACGCAAGAGCGTATACATATGTTCCCATATGTATACGTATAACTGATTCACTTTGTTATAAAGCAGAAACTAACACACCATTGTAAAGCAATTATACTCCAATAAAGATGCTAGAAAAAAAAAAAGAGTTAAGGAAACCTACACGGCACCACAGAGAAAACTGGAAGCTTTCTGACGGGGCTTAGAGCCCCTTCCTCTCCTCTGGGCCCTGGGGGCTTCGCTCCGACGAAGCTCACTCTTGCCTTCCAGACCCACCAGTGCACAGTTCATGCCTCCTCTAGGCACTGCCTCTGGCTGCCCACTCCCTGCACACACACTCCCCTCAATTTCAGGGAAGCAGGTACTGTGAGCAAAGGAAGGGAGGGAGGAGAGGCAGAAAGGATGCTACTCACCGCCTCCCCTCCGGCCCCCAGCACCAGCAGGCAGAGGGGCAAGGGACCCCGGCATCAAGGCAGTCATTGCTGTGGTCCCCCATCCACTCCTCTGCCCTCTGCCCGAGCCCTGGGCCCCCGCCAAGCCCACTCTGCAGCAGTTCTGGAAGTTCTGAGTTGGCATCCCTGATGCATCGGCACCTCGGAGATGGGATCTGCAGCTCCTCACAGGTGACATCCTACATCAGGTCACAAAAGATTAAGAGATTTCTGTGGACTCTGCAGAGATGTGACAGAACCCCCATCCCAAAGCAAAACCGACCCCAGGAAAAAGTGTGCCTTCCTTCTTTCGTTAACTCAAAAGAATTTACTGAGCACTAACTACATGCTGGGCAGAGGCCTTGCCCTCAAGGAACTGTACAGACTAGAGGCAAGCATGTATACAGCTAAGACCCCCTAGGGCCAGAGCTGTGAAGCTGGACAGGTCAGGAATTTCAGCATGTCCGTCCATTGGGACAGCCTATGTAACGCAGAAATACTACACTCATGCATTTCTCTGTTTCTGAAAATAACGCATGAATAGGTCAGGAGAAAACTGGAGGGGATTAGAGAATAACCTATACAGGATCAGCCTTTGCTCATGAAGAACAAAAATTCTAGAGGTCTGGGATAACTGCAAGGCTATAAACAGGAAAATTTATATTTTAAGGATTCAACTTCCATTTTCAAATGAAAGTTTTTATTTCTTGCAATTTATTTTTGCATCTTTGGAGAATGCTTTGGCCGAGGAGGTTCACTGTGGGCCAGGGCTATAAAGTAGACAGCAGACACGGAGGTAGGTGTAAGCCTCACCCACAGGAGCCAGAGACAGGGAGACCCAGCCGGTGGGAGGGACAGGAGATATACTGGAAAGATCTGCAAGCAAAGGAGTCTGGACCTGACTCTTCAGCGGACAGGAGGTGCTTAGGAAAGGACTGGTCCAGACAACAGCGTCTAAGACACGTTGAGCGGACACAGGAAGAGGCAGGAGAATGCACTTGAGTGAACTCTCAAAACTTTGACACCTATCTTTATGGGAGTAAGTGAATCCATGACCACGGTGCTGCTGAATATAGGCTTATGTGATCAAATTATCTCCCCATTCTGTGCCTCATTTGATTCATCTACAAAATGGGCGTATTAATGGTATCTATCACACACAGATATGAGGATTAAATAAGTTAATACAGGGAAGGCATTTAGAGCTATGCCTGGTACATAGTATGTGCTCAATAAAATGTTAGCTTTTATTATCATTTATTTCTTTCTGGGGGTGGTGAGAGGTGGCAAATAATCCAGTACGCTCATATTAAACATAAAAGTATTCTCAGTGGTTTCTGTAAATCACATTTCACTTTGCCTGGAAAAAAAAAAGGAGATGTAAATTTTTTCAAACCGACATGTACATACTTTAAAATATTGAGTTTATTTTAAAAATGAGCACAGTAAAAACTGCCACACAAATTATCAATAACAGACACTCCTATCAAGTGTACATATATAACTCCTCAAATAGAGGACCTTTAATTTCCCTTGAAGCCTTTTAAATTCTGAGTTTATACAAAATTAAGCAGGAAAACATTAACATTAAACAAAAATCAATTTTGCACAAATAAGTGTGATCAAGCAGCTTAAATTATCTTGTACTTCAGAGAAAAATCCCAGGTGACAACACTATATGTGCTATAAAAGGATTCACATTATTCTGCGGGGTATGTCTCACGTCACTCGTTCTCCACATTTCTTTCACCAAGCCCCAGGCAAAAAAGTGAGGGAAACTTTTTCGAGGCAGTGGCCTTATTTTATACACATTCCTTTTCTTTTTCTGAATCCAGAGTTTCTGAAAACACAGAGGCTTTTCTCTTGGTAAAATATGACTTATAAGACGTTCGAGGACCAAGCTATTGTGGTTCTTAAAGTTTCTTCCTTTCTTGGGGGAGACCCTGTGGTCTTCACACTACCCAGATCTCTTTTCTCCTCCCACACAGGCTCCTTTTTGGTGTGGAAACATAGCAACTTGTGACCTCAGCAGAGAGGGGGGTGAGCTCTGTACCTCTGACCAGGCCCCAGAGAAGGCCGGCCTCTCCTGATGTCCTCAAACTTCCTCTGAATTCAGAGTTCTGTATATCAGAATATGTCAACCCACAGCGACAAAAGACTTGAGGAACTCAAAATGTGAAGAAGCACCTAGCAACTGAGAATTAGAGAAATGTGTGTTTATTGTTGTACACAGATAACTGCTGGGTTCCTATTTTAATGATGGAGCAGAGTTTTGGCAGCATAACTAAGTCCTGTGCTCGACACAAGTCTGTAACCCGGCAGGACAGGTGTCCTGGTAGGAAACTGTCAAAGAAGCAAACACGAGCCAGGTGATGGGACCAGAGAGTAATTGCACTTGTGCTGGCATCAAGGCCACCCACAGATCAACAGCAACTTGAATCCCTGTGTGAAGGCTTATCTGTTATCTTTCAAAACGCTCTGGCCACCAAACTGAGCCAGTGTAATGAACATGGTATTTTAATGGGAAAATTATACATTCAGAAAATATTATACTGTCATAATTGATTCACGTTTCCTGGGCACTGATAAATATAACACAGTCCATCATAAACTACCAGAACCATTGCTCTGACAATGAGAAGATGCAAAGTGAGGATGGCCTCACTGGCACTTCCTTCCTTTCAGTGGGAAGCACCTTCTGGGCCTGGATGGACAGCTGAGGAAAAAGATTTCCTGTGGCTAGTAGAAAGGGTGGTGCCGTCCCCTCACCAGTGACACTGGGGGCCCTGCCTTGGAGAGCCTTCATGTAGCCGCCTCCAAGAATTCTGAGGTGAACACGGCTTCTGCATAATCTTCACACACATCCTGAAGCTCAGCAGCCACGGCCCCCAGAGCTTCATCTACAAGCTCTTCTGCAAAGCTGGAAGACAAACAACACAGCTAAAGGTACATACAGCCAAGTATGGGAGCCATTCTGTTACTCAGCTGAGGAACGTACCAAGTCACTTCTAAGATTTAAATGGAAACTCAGGAGGCCAAGAATAGCCAAGATAATTTTAAAGAAGAAAAACAAGATGAGAAGCCTGGCTTTCCTAGACAGTAAAATGGTGGTGCTGAGATCCCAAAGTCAGGCTAGAGGGAGGGGCCTGTAATGCACACGGGGCGGACCTCACCCTTGAGATGGCTGAAACCAGAGGTGACTGGAAACTAACTAGCAGCACCCAGCCCCAGTCCCGATCTCCGTCCTCCAGCTGCCCACCGCCCGACAGAGGAAAAGGGTGTGCGCCTTCTCTGGGGGGCGGGGCCAGGAAATTCCAGGCTCCTCTCAACACACACATACACACACACCCATACACACACACACTCTCCCGCCTCCAAACTGAGAGTAAGTTGCAGACTTGATATCCCTCAGGTACTTCTGGGTACATTTCCTAAAAACAAGGGCATTCTCTTAAATAACCCTGATACAATTATAAAAATCTTAACACAGATACAATACTATTATCTAATCTTACCTACAGACCTTTTTCAAATTTTTGCCAACTGTCCAAAAAATGTCCTTTAAAAGAAAACATTTTCTAGTCCAGGATTCAATGCAGGATCACATGTTGCATTCAGTGGCCACATCTCTTTAGTCAATTTTCACCTAGAATCGTTCTTCAATCTTTGTCTTTCATGACCTTAACATTTTTTGAAGCGTAAAGGCTATTTTTTTGTTGTTATAGAATGTCCCTCAATTTGGGTTTGTCAGGTTCAGGTTCTACATTTTGGGGACAAATGTCCAGAAGGGATACTGTGTCCCTCAATACATCTATTTGTCTTACTATGATGAGTGCTAATTTCTATCACACAGTTACGCTGATGTCTGCCAGGTTTCTCCCTTGTAAAGTCACTATTTTCCCTTTGTAATTAATACTTATAAAAAAAAATACTTATATTGCAGGGAGATACTTTGAGACTATGTAAATATCCTGTTTCTCATCAAACTTGCTGAATCAATTATTCCAGGGTTGCCAACACTGATCTTCTAATTCTGTCATTCCCAACTACATGGAAGAGCTTTCCCTTCTCTGTTACTTATTTATGTATTTATATCAGCTTGGTCTTACACATTCTTATTTTATTCAACAGTTTGTAATCTGTTTCTATTATTACTTATTTTGATACTCAAAGTGTCCCAGATTGGCCAGTAGAAGCCCCTTCAAGCCAGCTCCCAGGTCCTCTTGACATGTCCCCATCATTCTTTGAACACTTCCTTTCTGCCACAAGATGATGTTTCAGCCTCATCTTACATTTTCCCAGCCCCAGTCTTGGAATCGGCTATTTCTCCAAGGAGCCCTGGTACCTTTTCATGGAGAAGAGTATTTAGAAACCAAAATCTGGGTACTAAGTGTGCTCATTGCTACTAAGTGTGCCATCGCTTCTAGGCCCTCTCAGCAGATAGACTCGGACAGACAAACAGACACATAGACACACACCCCATGTCTATTTCTATATCTAACAAAAACCATAAATTCATAATACCTCCAATTCCACTTCAGAACAGGGGATTCATTCTAGCCTTCCCCCAGAAACCTGGCTCTCATTATTCACAATATACTTATTTATTTGATCAACCCTAAAATATAGAGAAAGTAGTTTTAGAATTGTTAACCCATGCTGCTGGGTAAAAGAAACCTACTTATTAGAATCTAATATGTGTTTACAGTCTTTTTGTCTTTAGCCAGAAGGTACAGAGTCAAAATACTGCATTCAAAAGTAACTCAGGGGCTTTCCTGGTGGCGCAGTGGTTGAGAGTCCACCTGCCGATGCAGGGGACACGGGTTCGTGCCCTGGTCCGGGAAGATCCCACATGCCGCGGAGCGGCTAGGCCCATGAGCCATGGCCGCTGAGCCTGCGCGTCGGAGCCTGTGCTCCACAACGGGAGAGGCCACAACAGTGAGAGGCCCGCATACCGCAAAAAAAACAAAAAAAAGTAACTCAGACAAGGCCTTATCTGTATGTATCCCTTCAGTATGGTTATTTCTTGGAAATACAGTTAGTGTCATATTTCTTTTTGTATTCCAATTTAGGGTCAACCTCCACTGCCCGCCCCCATCCTTGATGATTTGGAGGGATGTACAGGAAACATTAACAGTTCCAAAAGTCAGAATTATACAAAAGAGGTAAATGAAGATAAGTGTCCTTCCCCTTCTCTCATCCCTTCTACCCCAATTCCTGTCCCAGTTTTATTTTGACTAATCTGACAATCTTTCATCTTTTAATTGGTGGGTATAGTTCTTTTTCACTTAATGTAATTCTGATATATTTGAGCTTCTACTACTAGAATACTACATACTTTCTATTTGTCTATTTGTTCTCTCTTCTTTCTTGCCTTTTTTAGGATTTTGTGATTGTTTAAATTACATTCTTTCCTCACTATTAACTTGGATTTTAAACACTCTTACTATTCTTTTAGTGGCCACTCTAGATTACAATAAGCATCCTTGACTTAGAGTCTAACATTAATTGATATTCTTACCATTTTCCCAGACAATGCAAGAACCTTATTAGAATATTAACTCTACTTATCCCCTTCCCAATTCATATGCTATTTTTGTCGTGGATTTCAGATGTATATATACATACATACAAACACCCATAAGACATCAGTTTTTTGTTTTATACAGTCAATATTCACTTACCTACATGTTGACTTTTTCTTAATTCATGCCTTCCCGTATTTCTGACTTTTCATCTGTGTTTTTGCTCTGCCTGAAAAATACCCTTTTAATGTTTCCTATAGTGACGGTCTACTGGTAATAAATTTTCTCAGCTTTGTTTAGAACTTTTATTGCCTTCCTTCTTGAAATACATTTCACTGGGCTTAGATCCAGATTGGTAGCTTTCTCTTTTAGAACTTTAGAAAATACACCAGGTCATCCAGCTTCCATTGTTTCTGTTTCTCCTTTTTCCTTCCTCTGGCTGATTTTAAGATTTTCTCTTTGTCTTTCATTTTCCAACAATACTATGATATGCTACATATGGATTTCTTTTATTTTTCTTGCTTGGGGCATTTAGAGCTTCTTGAATCTACAGCTTGATGTCTTTTGTTATTTGGGGAAGTTATCAGCCGTTCTCTCTATGGATGTGGTTTCTGCCCCATTCTCCCTCTCTCCTCTCCTTCTGTGACTCCAGCCACATGGATATTAGACCTTGTCCCTTTATCCTCCACGTCCCTCATCCTCTCTTCTTTATTTTCATCTTTTTGTGTATCTCCGTGCATCACACTGGATATTTTCTTCTGTCCTATGTCCCAAGTCTCTAATTTTTTTTTTCATAAATAAGATCTTTTATTTGTCACCATTAAAAGTCTGAATTTTCAGCAGATCCTTGGCTCATGTCCATCAGCTCGTTCAACTCAAGCACCTGCCTCGTCCCCAGTAGCTTTTCCAGAACAACTACCTTCACCAAGTAGCTCCATGAGTTTTCCCAATTCAAACTTGGGCTTCTTCAGCATTTTTACCTTTCTAACAATGACATCATGGAGCAGATAAACAGATTGGCAAGCCTTTTCTATGTCTTTTCCAATGCTGTCTGGAATCAATTTATTGACCACCTCTTTCAAGTCATTTGTCTGCACCTCTCAGGTCATGATTTCCCTCATCTTCTTGCAGATCTGGCGGACCTGCTGGTGCTGGGCATAAAAGGTCTTCTGAATCTGACTGTTGCATTTTTTAGTAAAACCCACACAGAATAGATGAAGCAAATAACCATCGGTAGTCTTGACATCAACGTGAGCTTCAATCATGGTCTGACATTTTTTTGACCATGGGAGCACATTTTGTCATGGGTAATATCCATGCCACGGAAATTAGTCAGGCAGTTTTTGCCCTGAACATCCTCAGTAATTAGCTTGAATTTTCTAAATGCAAACTCATCATTCTGCAGATCAGCAAGGCTCACTTCAAAAACACAACACTTGAGACCGTCAGATGTGATTTTGGTTCCCTGAGTTCTCGTGACTAGTGTTTTCCCAGTATCTCTTACATTGAACATAGCTGGTGCTTCCACATCATAGCAATCTTTCTTAGAAAATGGGTCAACCACTTTCTTCTTGGCTCCCTTTTGGCCGCCTTTCATAAGACGCCTGTTCTTGTTGACGCCATGGTGCTGCTCAGAGAGCCAAAAGGCTCTAATCTTTTCTTTTGATGTGTCTAATTGGCTATTAAGCCCATCCAATGAGTTGCTCACTTCAGAATTTGTATTTTTCAGTTCTAGAACATCCACGTGGATTTAGTTTAGTTCCCAGTTCTCTGCCAAAATTCTAAATTGTGTCCTTTATCTCTATGCACATAGTAGGCACAGTTATTCCAATATCTGTGCCCAGTGGCTCTAATATGTGGAGCTGCTGTGGGTCTGGTTCTTGTTATTGTCATGTCTCTCTGTTGCCTGCCTTTTTTTTTTTTTTTTTTTTACCATATACCAGACACTGAATTTGAAACTTGCAGAAATAATTTCAATCCTAAGATGATATTATAAATCTTCAGAGAAATGTTAAGTTTGCTTCTGCTCGGTGCCTGTGGGGCAACAATCTAGAATCACCTCAACGCAATCTCAGGAAGTGAGATGACGTGGAACTGAGTGGAGTCCTGAGAGGGCCTGCCGGCATCCCGATCACCCTTATTCCAGAGTGCCACCCTTCAGGGTCCCAATCAGAAACGAGCAAAGTTCATCGGGCCAGTTCCCCGCCCTTGGCAAGCCCTTAATTTCCACCTCTGTCCTCTGATCTGAAAAGGCCACTGAAAGTGCCATTCATCTTCCTCCAGAACCGCCAATCCAGTGCCAGACAAGGACTAACTTCCCTGGGTCTCTGTCTCCTCAGGATCCTGGCCCAGTTATTCTTCATTACCTAGTTAACGTCCTGGTGCCTTCAAGCATGTATGTTTTATTTTTAATCTAGCTTTTCTATTAACAGTTATCCTCAGTGGGAGAGGCGGTCCAAAATTACCAACTGTGTCATTACTAGAAGCAGAAGTGATTACTTTGTTTTTATGCTTGCTTTGCTTTCTATATTCCTATCACTAATTCATCCTCAAACTAGGAGAGAAACACAAAGGTGCTCCCAATACATTCAAACACATGAGGTAATGTTATCTGTTTTCTTCTTCTTTTTTAACCTTCCTCACGCTGGCTTCCCCTGCTGGAAACTGCTCCTCCTGGAGCCCTCTGTCCTCCTGACTCCAATCTAGACTAGCTGCTTTCTATGCTCACTGAAAAATTCTCTTAGAAATAGCTTTTCCCATTTTCTTGCAAGTTCCATGTTGGAGTCTTAAGTTTCCTAAATCCCGTCTTCCTCTTTCTCAATGTGTACCTTGTGCTGGTGGCACGCACCTTCTGGTAGCTTACTGAGAAACAGTGCGTGGGAACTACATTTTTGGACACTTTGCATACCTTAAACTGTCTTTATTCTACCCTTTTATTTAATCAGTAATTTAGCTGAGCACAGAATTCTAGGGTAAATATGGGAAGCATGCTCTAGTATCTTCTAGCAGGGTTGCTACTGACAACAATATGCCTTTCTCATTTCTGATTATTTGAATGTGCCCAGTTTTAAGTCTCTGGAACCTTCCGTCATGTTCTCCTTACACTGGGATGCCCACCTACCCTTTGCACAACAGCATGCCGTGATGTGTTCCGTTCTCTTTATTTATTCACTCACTCACTCACTCACAGCGGGCGACTGGCGAACCCTTTCAATCTAGAGACTAACAACCTTCTGGGGATTTTTCTTACAGTATTTCCTCAATAAATTTCCATTCCTCCTTTTTCCCTGTTTTCACATTCTGGAACTCCTGTTATGCAGATGTTTTCTCTGTTATAATAGCCTATGTCGCTTTCAGGGTTTTCAGCAAATGTCTGGATCTCTTAGCAATCCGCTATATTCAAGACTGAGAGTTTCAACTAAGCCTCCTACTTTCTGACTCCCCTGGACCCATGCATCTAGTGCTCCTCATTCCTGAGTCTCACCAAGGTTCTTCTGCACAAATCAGCCAGGGTCTTGGCTCCACCCTCATCAGCCACCTGGCTCTTTCTGGTCTGCTAAGTCACTTGCCATTTCTCTAACTGCTTCATGGCTTCCAAAATTTTCTTGCTATTTCTTATTTGCTGTCATCTATGGTTTCATGCCTTTTATTTAGTCTTTCAGGGGCATAGAGTGGGCTAGGGATATAGGGAGTAGAGATAAATCATATGTTCAATCTGTCCTTTTCTTTTCTTTTCTTTTTTTTTTCTTTTTTTGCGATACGCGGGCCTTTCACTGTTGTGGCCTCTCCCATTGCGGAGCACAGGCTCCGGATGCCGCGCAGGCTCAGCGGCCATGGCTCACGGGCCCTGCCGCTCCGCGGCATGTGGGATCTTCCCGGACCGGGGCACGAACCTGCGTCCCCTGCATTGGCAGGCAGACCCCCAACCACTGCGCCACCAGGGAAGCCCTCAATCTGACCTTTTCAACCAGAAGTCTCCTGATGTGTTTTTCAAACAAGGAACCTTTAAGAGTTTGCTTTCATTAAAAGCATTATCACCTTAAGCCTTCCCTTCCAGAATCACTCTTTTATTTACATCCAGTTTATATCACCTGCCCCATTTGACCACTGGAACAGTGCTTTTCTCCACGTGGAGGGAGGAGTGGAGACATTAAAAGAAGGAGAAAAACTCAGCTTACTTCTCCCTCACCCAGAGGCTATCAGATGAAGTCAACTGTCTTTGGATACTTTTTCAAGATTTGATCAATATACTTCTCATCTTTGGAACACTCAAATAAGAAACAAAACAAGGGAGATCAAAAACAGAGCTAGAATATTTAGATGTGCTGTCACTTGAGGGTCAAGGACAGGAGAAGAGAACATCTGTGAAATTCAGGCGTATTTTAATAGATCTGACCTCAACGTCTTAACCTATTAGTCCTTATAAACTGAGAGAGCTTTTCCCTACATCTACAAAACAACTATGAACAAAATGTATTGTTAATCAAGTGGTAAGAACATACAAGGAACAGTCTATCCTCCTTAGCTTATTTTGGACTTCCCAAGATGCCAGTTAGCCTAACCAGTCCAGACAGGTTCTGTGCAAACCAGCGAGTATGCTATAGGACTGCGTGTTAACACACGGAAGCAAGTCAAGGGTACCTACTCTCCTCTCCAGAAAATAAATGCGCGTCTCAACAGAACAAAGGGTCTCATATGCTTTGAAGGGTATGTATATTAAGAGAAGTCCCAGGACTTCGGGCTAAACCTGAGAGATAGAACATAAGTGATCATCTCTGATCTCACCCAAAAGCCCACCAAAATAAAAGGAGATAAATGAACACAGAAATCTGCAAGGAGAAAAAGACAAAACTAGATGAGAAACGTCCAAGATCTTCGGAAGATAAAAAGCACATGGAAGAATCAAAATTGACTCAGCAGTACAGAGGAAAAATACAGAGGAAGCTGAAACCTTAGGGTACATGGAGGGAGACGCCAAGGAAAAGCAAGCTGATCTGTCTCACAAAACACGTCTCACAGAAAGACTCTGGAAGTAAGAGAACCAGGAACCATGAAAGTGGAATGAAGGATCCGGTAGGAAATGAAGCGACTGGCTGAGAACCTGCAGAACAAGCAGTTAGGCTGAGGGGTCTCCATGTCTGCTCCTGGCAGCCACCTGACAACCCCTGCTTGGCCCCCACAATAAAAGGAAGGTATATTCTTTGGAAAAAATAAACCAGTAATTTGGGGCTTTCCTGGTGGTGCAGTGGTTAAGAATCCGCTTGCCAATGCAGGGGACACGGGCTCGAGGCCTGGTCTGGGAAGATCCCACATGCTGCGGAGCAACTACGCCCGTGCACCACAACTACTGAGCCTGCGCTCTAGAGCTCGCGAGCCACAACTACTGAGCCCGTGAGCCACAACTACTGAAGCCCGTGCGCCTAGAGTCCGCGCTCTGCAACAAGAGAAGCCACCGCAATGAGAAGCCTGCGCACCACAACGAAGAGTAGCCCCTGCTGGCTGCACTAGAGAAAGCCTGCGTGCGGCAACGAAGACCCAACACAGCCAAAAATAAATAAATAAAGTAATAAACCAGTAATTTAAAACCCAGCCAAATCATCAATCAAGTATGAAGATAGACACCTTCAAACATGTTAAGTCTCAAGAAATGTCCTCTAATACACAAAGCAGTATAGGCTCCATCAGAGTAAGAGAGTAAACCAAGAAAGAGGAGGACACGTGCAAACAGAAAACAAGGACCCTAACATGGGAGGGAGAATCGCACACTCAGTGTGGTTCCCAGGACAAGAACCACACTGCAGACCTAGAAAGCGGCTGGGCCAGACTGAGACAGAAGGAAAGAGGGCCTCAGGAGAAAGAGTCGGGGTGGAGGCGAGAAACAGAGATTAATCAACATATCTGATCATGAGGAAAATTATGTTCAGACGTGTTGGCTAGTATGTGGGAAACGATAACAGATACATAAAAGAATAGGCAAATTAAAAAGAGGCAATTATTAACTCCTGGAATACGTTTGAAACTTGTTCAAGAAAGAAATGTAATCATGGTATACTGCTTGGCTCAATGATGAAGATTATCCGCATGTATGTAATAAGGTAATACTCATGAGGAATTTAAATTTGCTCCATTTTAAAAGAAGGAATTTACACACATCTTTCAATTAACTATTTATGTAAAAGAAGACTACGCATTCTTCAAATATTTAGTAGCAGTGGGACTGTTTTCTGACTCCATAAAACTCCCCTTCTCAGGGGAGGTGACAGCCAGAAGGAGGAGGTTAAGTGTAGCAAGGTCTGTAGGCCTGCTGCTCCTACTGTAAGTTTTTTTTTTTTTTTTTTTGCGGTTGCCGGGCCTTTCACTGCTGTGGCCTCTCCCGTTGCGGAGCACAGGCTCCGGACACACAGGCTCAGTGGCCATGGCTCACGGGCCCAGCTGCTCCACGGCATGTGGGATCTTCCCGGACCGGGGCACGAACCCGTGTCCCCTGCATCGGCAGGCGGACTCTCAACCACTATGCCACCAGGGAAGCCCCCTACTGTAAGTTTGTCCCGACCGTGAAGATTTCATGATCATAACTGTTTCCTGCCCAGTAATAATCTGTGTTCTCTGATGACACAGCCCTCAGTAACAGCAAGAAGAAACCTGTCCTGACTTGAATATTGTGCCTCTACCTAAGGACGGGAGTCTGCAGAAGGCTCCTTTGGATGCCATCAGCCATGCAGTTTTCCCATCTCCTCTCCCTGAAGAGAGGCATTTAGCAGAGAAAGCCTGTTCACTAGCCCTGAAGCAGCCGCTGGAACTCCAGGGCGCAAAAGCACGGCCTGAGACCCTGGCCAGGCCTTTCTCCAGCCTTTCCGTAAGCTGACACGTGGCACCCAGTTCCTCAACAAAGCACAAACCTTCTACTGACCTTTCAGCTATCAGCCACGGGTTGAAGGAGCCCACAGCCTCGTGTGCAGTAACCCGGAGGTACTGCTCGAAGCGGCGGCAGTAGTCACCAATGCTGCGCCGCATGCCCCGCGGGACACAGAGAGCAGCTCGGCCTTCCTTCTGCTGAGCATCTTCTGAAAGGGAGAGAAGGGCATTCTCTCTTTTCTCTGGTCTCTCCTCTGTTCCCACACTTTCATCTAGGGAACTGAGAGCAGATAGAAATGATGAGCGCATTCAAAATCGTCTGCAAGCCAGGGTGAGCTGTTAATCCGCCCTGATGGCTTGACAGCCAAAGGTCTACCTCCATTTCCCTCCCTCACACTGAGCAAAATGCAACGTCTTATCACCACTCATTGTTCCTCCTTCACACCGGACCAACCCTCCACACAGGAGGAGCACGTGTCCCACGGACAAAAGAATTCTTAAAGCAGATCCTGCAGTAATTACCTGCACAACCACCTGTGCCAGTGTGATGCTTTCAATCGTAAAAACCAGCTAAACGTTACTGAAAGGATCCTTAAGATGCAACACACTCAATGCCCATCTTATAAGCACTACTATTTTACTGGGCCATCTTGGAGTTTGTTAAGATCTTGGTCAAAAGGAGTATCTCTCTCTGTCTTGTGGTAATTGAAGGAATGTGAAATCTAACAACATCAAAGGCAACCAACTACAATGAAATCATACAGTCTCGTTACCACTTACGTGCCATTGCAGGGCCTTTCTAACACGATGTTCACATCTGGGTCTTTGCGAGCTGCTGTCTTTGTGATCCTGATTGGATGAGGAGAAAGACGCCTTTCACTTACTGCTGGGATTTTTTGGTCTAGAAAAGGAGAAGCGTAAAGTGACTGCATATAAAGAAATGCTGGTGTATATATCAGAGCTGTCTTGGTGGCCAATAACCTGTGAGGAAGTCATGGGCACATCTCTTAAGCATAAAGGCTGCATTAGCAGTACAAAGGGAAAAAAGTGCCCTTGTTTTAAATGAAAAGGGGAATTTAGAAGTCCCCAAGAGGGACTTCCGTGGTGGTCCAGTGGTTGAGGATCTGTCTTGCAGTACAGGGGACACCAGTTCGATCCCTAGTCGGGGAACTAAGATCCCACATGCTGCGGGGCAATTCAGCCTGTGCGCCACAAGTGCAGAGCCTGCACACCACAACTGGAGAGCCCGAGCGCCGCAACTACTGAGCCTGTACGCTCTGGAGCTCACGCGCCACAACTGGAGAGAAGCTTGCACACCGCAGCGAGGAGCCCATGTGCTGCAACAGAAGATCCCGCACGCCACAACTAAGACCCGATACAGCCAAAAAATAAATAAATAAATAAATAATATTAAGGGGACTGTCGTTAAAAAATAAAAAAATAAAAGTTACCAAGAAACAAACCAATGAGGAGTCAGTTTTAAGAAATAAAGAACTTTAAAAGCTTCTGTCAGCTCTTCGGAAGACTCTTTGAAGAGGTCTGTGCAAAGCCAGGTTCCATTAGGATCCAGCCCCCATTCCGAGGAGTCTTAAGCAGTTGGGTTTGTTTTTTAACCTTTAAATGATTTGATCACTGGAGAAGGGAAAAAACCACTCACACCTGAACACTTAATTAGCTGATTTAATTTGTCTCTGGGCTTCTTGGAAAAATCTGCATGATGATAGTCAAAACATTTAACTTATTGACTGTACCTTGCAGGCTTGACCGCTCTTTTGAGTTTTGGATTACTTAACATTTTAAATGCATTTCAAATGTAGAATCCCACTACTGGCACATACCCAGAGAAAATCATAATTCAAAAAGACACATGCACCCCAATGTTCATTGCAGCACTATTTACAATAGCCAGGTCATGGAAGCAACCTAAATGCCCATCGACAGATGAATGGATAAAGATGTGGTACATATACACAATGGAATATTACTCAGCCATAAAAAGGAATGAAATTGGGTCATTTGTAGAGATGTGTATGGACCTAGAGACTGTCATACAGACTGAAGTAAGTCAGAAAAAGAAAAACAAATATCGTATATTAACGCATTTATGTGGAATCTAGAAAAATGGTACAGACGAACCGGTTTGCAAGGCAGAAATAGAGACACAGATGTAGAGAACAAACCTATGGACACCAAGGGGGGAAAGCAGGGTGGGGGGGATGAATTGCGAGATTGGGACTGACATATATATACTAATATGTATAAAATAGATAACTAATTAAAAAATGTAGAATCTCTGACTCACATATTTATATGCTTATGACTTTTTATGCTCAGAAATACTGCATAAGTCAGTTTTTGTAAAAATATTACTGAGAGGGGCTTCCCTGGTGGTGCAGTGGTTAAGAATCTGCCTGCTAATGCAGGAGACACGGGTTCAAGCCCTGGTCTGGGAGGATCCCACATGCTGCAGGGCAACTAGGCCCGTGAGCCACAGCTACTGAGCCTGCGCGTCTGGAGCCTGTGCTCCGCAACAACAGAGGCCGCGATTGTGAGAGGCCCACGCACCGCGATGAAGAGTGGCCCCCGCTTGCCACAACTAGAGAAAGCCCTCGCACAGAAACGAAGACCCAACACAGCAAAAATAAATTAATTAATTAATAAACTCCTACCCACAACATCTAAAAAAAAAAAAAGAATATTAGAAAATATTACTGAGAGTACAATCAATTTTCAATTGATTTCAGAAAAGAGAAGATAAGAGATATAGATTCGACACTGCACAATTCAAAAATCACTTTAAATTTGGTTTTTGTGATGCAACTGAACATACAATCAGAACAATTAGAAACAGAGAGTTCTTATGAGGATTTCATGATTCTGGATTTAAAGTGTCCAAAAATTCATTTCAGAGCTCCTTTTAAATGCAAACCTAGACTCTAGCAGAGTCAGAGATAGTGACTAACAATTTAAATTGTCCTTAAAAAAGAGAACACCGAGTCCTTGGTAAGGCTGTCTTCTGCATGATGCAACCTGACTGTGGCCATTGGCCAAACCATCAGTGAAACAGTCGCCCTTCAACATTTCCCTCTCCTCTGCTTCCTTACGAAAAGATGCCCACTGATTCACTAAGCAATGATTAGAAGGGTCCTCCCTGTGCCAGGCCCATGCTAGGTACCGTTGGGACACAACTGAATATGACAAAACTCTCTGGCCTCAAAGATTCTGTGGCTTCTTTGGGAGAGATAAAGAGCTCTAACAGGGTAGGACATGCCAAAAGTCTACGGGAGTTCACAGGAAGGGAGCAAAGTTCCAGCCTAGGAAAGCCAGGAAAAGCACGGCCGAGTAGGATCACGTGAGCCGGGCCTCGAAGAATGGTTCAACTGTCATGTGAGGATGAAAATGGAAGCTGGAGTAGGACTGGGGGAAAGAGAGAATGACATGAACAAAGAATAGCGCTGGAAAAATTACAGAAGACAAAAGGAACAAATTTGTATTTTGTTTAGATGGCTCATCTTTCTGTCAAAATTTGACATGGAGAATACTTTTCCTAAGACAATACCCCAAACTCATACTCTAAAAGAAGTATATATACATAAGCTGCTGTTGTAAACCTTCTATATCCACAATTTCCTTTACTTCTCTTAGTACTCATAGTACTGAAATTCCTTTAGAGGTAATGTTTAACCACATTTTATTTTCCTCCTTTCACTGAGTAAAGTAATAACTGATAAGCATGTGTCAAAGAGAATTTGAGTAACACTTCCCAGCCCAAATTGTGATAGTAGCCTAGCAACGGCAGCCAAAACGCATATGTATGAATTTTTTAAAGTGGAAGAGAAAAGTGAAAGTCTTTTCAACAAACAGAGCAAGAACAAGTGGATATCCATTAGTGGAAAAAAAAAAAAGAACCTCTACCTCAAACCACAGGCAAACTTTTATTCAAGATGGATCATAGGCCTACACATAAAAGCTAAAACCATGAAGCTTCTAGAGGAAACAAGTCTCTCTTCTCAACTTGGGAGTAGGCAAAGGTTTATTAGATCAGAGAAAGCAAAAACTATACAAGAAAAAATGGACAGGTTAGACTTTATCAAAATTTAAAATGTCTGCTCATAATAAAATACATTTGAGAAAATAAACAGGTGAGCTATAGATGGGGAAGAATGTTTGCAGATACTCGCTGGACGAGATTAGTGACTGCTGGGATGAGAGGAGGGAGAATGAGGGGTGATGCTACTGGATGCAGGGCTTCTTTTCAGTGATGAAAATGTTCTGGAATTAGCAATGACGTCTGCACAATTCTGTAAATATACTAAAAATTACTGAACTCTTTAAAAGGGTAAATTTTATGGTATGTGAATTACATCCAATAAAGCGGTTTTGAAAACAAACTATATATATCTATATGACAAAGAACTCAAACCCACAACGCATAAAGAATTCCTACAACTCAAAAATAAAAAGACAATCCAATTTCTTAAAATGTACAAAAGATTTGGACACTTCACAAAGGAAGACATACAAATGACTAATAACTACTTGAAAATGTTCTAAACATCATTATTCACCAAGGAAATGAAATTAAAGCCATAAAGAGATATTGCTACAGGCCCACCAGAATGGTTACAATGAAAAAGACTGACAATTCAAATATTGGCAAAGATCTCTAGCAACAGGAACTCAATGTAGATGGGAGTGTAAAACGGTACAGCCACTTTGGGGAAAGGTTTGGCAGTTTTTTATAAAGTTAAACATATACCTATCCCATAACCTGGCAAGTCTACTCAGGTGTTTATCCAAGAGAAATGAAAACTTATGTCCATACAAAGACTATACATGAATACACCCATAGCAGATTTATTTCTAATAGCCCCAAACTAGAAATAACCAAATGCAGATCTACAGGCAAATGGATAAACTAGATGTGGTGCATGCGTACAATGGAATACTGCTCAGCAATAAAAAGGAATCAACACTGATACAAAGTGTGGTAGGCTGCACACTGGCTCCACATTCTATTCCCTGGAACCTGTTAATGTCCCCTCTATGGCAAGAGGGACTTTAAGGATCTTGAGATGGGGAGAGTAACCTGGATCACTGGGGTGGCCCCAAGTGTAATCAACATGTCCTTATAACAAGCAGGCAGAGGAAGATTTGACTCAGAAGAGGAGAAGGCAATGTGACAACAGAAGCAGTGTGAAGTAATATGGCTGCAAGCCAAGGACTGCAGGCAGCCTTAGAAGCTGGAAGAAGGAACCAGCCCTGCCACCACCTTGATTTTAGCCCTTTAAGACTCACTTCAAACTTCTGACCTCCAGGAACTGTAAGAGAAAAAATTTGTTTTAAACTGCTAAATTTGTGCTTTAACTTGTTACAAACTTGTTACTGTGGCAATAGGAAACAAGTCATAGATAAATTTATAAGATATCATGCTAAATGAAAGAAGCCTTAGACAAAAGAGTAAATACATGTATGATTCCATTTATATGAAAATTCTAAAACAGGCAAAACTAATCTATAGTTAAAAAAAAAAAGCACAGTGGTTGCCTGGGTGGTGGGGAACTGACAGGGAAGGAGCATAGGGGAACTCTCCGCAGTGATGAGAGGCTCTGTTTTGAGAGAAGTGTTGGGTAACAAAGGTATGCCCGTCTGTCAAAACCCATCAAATAACACTTAATAAGTTAACACTTAATAAGTTAAGATCTGTGCATTTTATTATATGTGAATTTTATCTCAAAAGGAAAAAGAGCCATAAATAAATATTAAGCCCTAGTTAGTGATAACAAATGTTGAAATATTTCAGGTAAGATGTACTGATGTCTTCAAATTACTCTGAAATGCATCCAAAAATAAGATGGATTGATGGATGCACAGAGCATAAGTAGACATATGATAAAGCAAACACAGCAACATTTTAATTGTAGAATCTAGAAGATGCGTATATGGGTGTCCACTGCAGAATTTTTTCAACTTTTCTGTATGTTTGAAATTTTTCAGAATACAATGTCGAGGGAAAAAGTGGGGAAACACTCACCATTTTTTTCTTCCTGCATCCAAAGATGAGGATCAGTAAATACAATTTTATTATATCTTTGGCGAACCATCTCCTGGTATTTCTTTAAAAAAAAAAACAAAACAAACAAGTATAATTTATGAGGAAGAAAATTAGTTTCATTACAAACCAGAGACTAGTACAGCAGACATTTCCTATAGACACGTTGTCAGAAACAGGCATCTCCCAGGGCCAGGAAGTGATTAGTTCATGAGATGAAATGTAAAAGAAAATGAAGCAATTAATCTAATTAATCTAATCTAGACCAGCACTGCCCACTAGAACTTGAAGTGATGATGGAAATGTTCTATTTTTGCCATGTCCAATATACCAGCTACTAACTATTGACCACTTGAAATGTGAGTAATGTATTTAATCTTAATTAATTTACATTAAATGGCCATCTGTGGCTACAGACTACCATTTTGGACCCTTCAGGCCTAGACAGTTAACGAGGGGAAATCAGTTACAAGACTAGGATAAACTACACATTTTTAAATTTTCAAAAACCAACTAAAAGTTGCCTTCCCTATAATGTTTCTGTTTAGCAGCAAAGCCAAAATGAGATTTCATCATGGTGGAGTTAAAAAGAAAATGCTGAACTAGGAGTCAGGAGACCTGGATTCTCAGCCCACCTCTGGTGGGAATTTTTGTGTGACCTTGGCCACGTCACTTACTCCCTTATTGGGTCTCAATTTCCTGCTCAGAACAATCCAGGGGTTGGCTTGAGTAATGTCTGACGTCTAAAATTCTCTGAGAAAAGCGTTCTAAAGTAGTATCATGGGACTTAGAGAAGGTAAAGTTAACTGTGATTTGCCAGGATCCCATGCTAGCAGAGCAGAATAGGCAACTGAACAGCATTTACAAGCTGAGGGATGAAGAAGTTAAGTTGTTGGTCGCATCTGTGGGCCTGGGCTCCGGTCCAGTGTCTTTCGTATCCCATACCAACCATGAGTTATGTGTCAGGCAGGGTGCTGATACTTCATACCTCATTTTGTCCTTAAAAGCACCCTACTTATTAGAGAGGGTACAGGACTTTACCAAGGCCGTACACTGGGCTGGCAGTCGAGCTGGGATTTAAACTCAGGACCAGGTGACTCTGAAGTTCTAAGCTACAGAGCCATGAGGAGAAGCAGCGCTCGGCAGAAGTCAGCAGCCAGCCGCTGACCAGAGCTGGCAGTCCCGGCCTTACCTCCATTTCCTCCATGCGGAGCATCATGGCCTCCAGACATGGGCTATCCTTGCTGTCCCCCCAGGTGGCTAAGGCCTCAGGCTCCGAGATCTTAGAGTGAGTCACAGCCCAGAGCTCGTGAGCGGCATCTTCCAAAAAATCATCCAGCTGATGAATGCTGCTGGATTCACAATCAGTAGCCGTAGCCTGCAAAACAAGGGAAGGGGATGGAAAGGCAATACAAAAACAACAGAGATCTTAGAGATTAATGCTAATCATGACAAAGCAACCACGCAGCGATCCGACACGCAGTTTCTACACGAAATCTAACCTCTCCTAAGTCAGTAAACGTCAAGAGCAGTGACATCAGTACAATTTCTACCACAGTCATTTAAACAGTAACATCAACTGAGGAGTACCATTACTGTCCATGGGAATTATCTTTATTACCTGTTTTGCCAGTTGGTAAAGCAAATATACTCCTTGTGCTATACTCAGAAGAACGTCCAATACTTCATATGTCACATACTACAGAGGACATACCTACAGTATTTTTTGGGTTCAGTGCTTTGTAAAAACATCTGTTCATGACATCACAAAAGTTCATGATTCTTGTCTTTGCTTGAGACTTTCTACCTGTAACCTGGAAGAGCTCTTATCAGCCTTTCTTGACCTTGTATTCTTTACATTCACTTTACAGCTTGCAAAGCATTTTTATATGTGTTGTTATTTCTTTTGATTCTAATATATGTCTATAATCTGCTCTGAAAGAGGCTTTTACAAAGAATGTCTGCTGGGGGAATAATCATATCAGGCTCTGGAATGAGACATTCCTGGGGCTAAATCTTGGTTCTGCCTACTGGTATGCCTCCAAGTGTGGGCAAGTTTACTTAACCTCTCTGGGCCTCAACCTTCTGGTCTGTAACATAGAAATAATAATCCTATATTCCAGAGTTGTAAGGATTACATGAGCATTTGCACACTGGAACACTTACAATAGTGGTTGGCACGAAGAACAGTTACCGCCATAGTAATTTTTAAATTAACGGTTCACAGAAGAAAATATATTAATGGCCAATCAAGATATAAAGAAATGCTCAACCTTAACCAAAGTTAAAGAAATGAATATCAGTTGAATAACCAATACAATAAAATTAACAAAAAAATCTAGAGACAACTAAACCAATAATACAGGTCTGGTTAAGATGTGTTTATTTGTATTTTCATTCTTAATATTTAAAGAATTGAATATCAAGAATACTACGAGGGCTTCCCTGGTGGCGCAGTGGTTGAGAGTCCGCCTGCCGATGCAGGGGACACAGG